GCTCCCTGCTCAACGGGGAGTCAGCTTCCTTTTATTTATTTGTCAGAGAGAGCACAAGCAGGGGAAGTGGCAGGTAGAGGGAGAAGCAGGCTCCCCGCTGAGCAGGGAGCCCGACGTGGGACTCAGTCCCGGGATCCTAGGATCATGACCTGAGCCGAAGGCAGATGCTTAACCAACTGAGCCACCCAGGTGCCCCAGTATTTTTGTATTCTTTAGGTAAATACCCAGTAGTGCAACTACTGGATGGTAGGGTAGTTCTATTTTTAGGTTTTTGAGGAACCTTCAATCTGTCTTCCAGATTGACTGCACCTTTCTGCACCCCCACCAACAGAGGCAGAGTGGACCTTTTAAACTAAAATGTCAGAGGCTCAGTAAAGTGCATTGAGTTCACAATCTATGTGAGATGCTGGAATGTGTAAGCTGGAGGTGTGGACCATGACCCGGAGGGAGTGCTCGGGAAGGTCTGGGAGGGTTCTGCGGGGGCGTGTGATAGAAGAGCTAGAAATGGAAGTTTGGGTTCCTGTCTGCAAGAGGGCTAGAACCTTCTAGGCAGAAGCAACACAAAGATAAAGGCAAGGTCCCAGGAAATCCATCTCCCTCCTTGAAATCAAAACCACCGCCCGTTTTAACCTGAGCTGGTCAGCTTTCTTTCTCTAAATGTTATGTCATTCTGCAGAACGTTGGCATGCTCACTGGAGTCTCAGTGGTGGGTGAGATCCAGTGGTTGCGGGGGGTGGACGGAAGCACCTGTGTCCTCTCGCTCTGGCGAAGCCAGCTTTCTCCCTGCACTCCTTCCCCTCGGCCCTGCTCCCTTAGTTGCTTTGCATCTGATCGTCGCAGTTTAATAACATCTAATGACACTCCTCTCCTGATTTCGGTGCTGGCTACCCCTGGGACTTAAGTCTAGATGCAAGTATTAAGGAGAGGGCAGCCAGGTTGCCGGTGACTTGGCTGGAAATCCCATTCACATTGGGGAACAGATTTGGAAATTAAATTTGGCCCTGGAAGCAATGTCATCCTTTTGTAAAGCTGCAGCAATAATCATAAACCCTCATTGTCACTCTCCCCCCCACCCGACCTCCCAGCCAAGCTGACAAATAGTTAGTCGTCAGCATATCCTCATGATGCCACCTTCTGTTCACCCTGTGGGATTCTCTGGCTGTTTGGGTTGGCACCGGACCACCATCTTTTCTGTTTTATGTAATAAGGCACATGAGAGAAGCTCTTTGTGCCCAGCCTGTCTGCGTGGGTACTGGGCAAGAGGTCTTGTGTACCCCATCATTTTCGGGACGGTCAAAGCTAGCGAACACTTCTGCGGCCTGGGAAATGTTTGCTAACTCTTGGCAAGGTTTTTGTCTTCTGGTGCCATTTTTGCTCCCGGCCAGGATTATAATGACCCAGCTTTGGTTTAAGATGAATTTTTGCAAATATATGTGTGCGGTGGGGCTACATTTTCAGAGAAAACAAGCACGGTGTGGCACGGGGCTGATGTAATACAGCGCTGCAAATGCTCAAGCCCACGAGGCTTACCCTCTGCAGATTGTACCAACAAGAGGGCCAAGCTTGTCGAGGTCCGTAGGAGCACACGGGCCTTCTCTCCTTCTGAGAAGGTTGTTAACTAGCGTGGGACCCAACACAGAGCCTGTTTTCTGATCTATTTTTTCGTGTTTGCTTTAGACTATCAGGGGAAATGGCCATTTCACATCCTTGGGCACAGTGTTGTATTATTTACATTGCTTCCCCCGCTTACTTTTTTTTTTTTTAACGTGGTGTTAAATGTTAGCGTCAGGTGTTGGCAGGCTTGCCCGGGAAACAGATTGCTTTGAAATAAACACAGCTGGAAACTGACCACATATTGTTTTTCTTTCTCCTAAGAAATGAAAGAGGCATTTATAGAAAGGCTGGAAAAGGCTGTACAGTCCAGGATTACTTTATAGATGTATTTTTTCCCACGTCTGGTTAGCAGTGCATGTCACGCCTCGGTGTCCAAATGGACCCACTTTCCTTCTTTCTTTGTGAAGTTGCGGTTTGCCGGGAACAATAAACTCCGAGAGGTTTGCTGCAATCCGCCCTTGAGAGGGTGGAGTCTATTCAGGGCTGTTTCTCTCTGCTGAAGTGTGGTCTTCAGAGCTGAGCGAAGAATGCCTTGTGTGTGCTGTTCTGCGAGCCTTGCTTGCAGCCTTGAAAACCTCGTCAGAGTCACCCCTGGCCTCCTCTTTCAGGGATGGGCAAGTAAGTGAGTTATGGAATTTTGGTGCATGTGTCTGTGATTTTTGTCCAATTTGATGCACTGTTGAAAATGAAGGCAGGGTGTATTCTCACTGTGTCATTCAACCAGGTTTTGTGTCTCCTGCAAGTATTTTTCTTGTTGCTGTCAGAAAAGAAGTAGGAGCCTTCTTTTCTCACACCTTGAAGACTTTATTTTTGTTTTGGTCATTTATTCCTTTAGCCTCTGTGCCAAGAGCTTCTCTGTCTCTCTCTTTTACTGTTTCTTTGCAGAGACGTTTTAAAGATTTGTGGAGTTACAGTATAATCATGAATTGCTAATAGTCAATTGCTATGGTAGAATAATTCATTGCTGTGTTTTGCAAAGGCAGTTTCCCCCCACAAATAGCTATCTCTCTGGACATCTCTCTTGTAAGAGCTGAGTTAGAAATGAAGAAGAGGGAGGTGTAGGAATTTCAGAGTAACTTTTGCTTTTGGTTTGCTTACATGGCAACGGGGGAGACTTTTTCAGAGGCAAAATATGTTTTACTTTTATTTTGTTTTAACAGAGGGGAAGACAGGGTTGTATCTGCTGGGATTATCTGAACTACCTGCTACCTGTGTTGGAGTAGAGATGTAGTCATCTGGACAAATGGAATTTGTCATGCATTCCTCACGACAGTATTTAAAATAGCATCCTCCAGCTCTTTGACTGAGGTGCATGGAGAGGAATTGTTGGAATTGGGCCATGCATCTATTGGGATTTTCACCATCAGATCCAGCCCTTAGCATTGTTCCTGGTACATAGCACAGCTCTCTCTATTACCTACCATATGTATGGACAAGGCTTTCTGTATTGTGTAACTGACTAACTTAGTAACATGTGCTAAGTGGGGCCATCTGAACTCCGGCAGGAGGAAAGTAATAGTGAGTTTTGAATCTTATAAAACACATAGATGAGCCCAAAGGAAGAGAGCATTGAGAAGACCTGTGACAATGAAGGTGGACCTGAAAGGCTGTCTCTGCGTTGGCTACTGCCAAGCATATTTCTCCTTGGCTTTATACAACTTGGCAGAATTGATCCTGATTTTGGATTTTGAAGGGATAGAACAAGAGTGGATTACACATTATCTTGGACTGAGGTAATCTGACCAGTTCTGCTCATGCATTTCTTAAATGACTTATTTTTTAATGAGACTGTACAGATTCTTTCTCTAAATGGTTATAATTAACAGCTACTTAAGATAGGTCTGTGCTCTTTCATATGTGATACCCCATGGCTCTCCTCTCCAGTCCAATGAGGTCGGCATGAGTATTATTTCCCCATTTTACACTTGAGGATACCGAGAGTCAGGTGAAAAGTGACTCTGGAGGTCGCTTGGTGAGTGAAAGTACCGGAAATAAGCTGGTTTTTTAAAAGCTCATAATCACATGCTCCCCATGCCCTCCTCTCTCTGATCATCCCTGAACTCCTTCCATTGTAGAACAGAGGAATAAGTTCCAGGCTGGGTGTTGGAGACCTGGATTCTGATTCTGACTGGGTCGTTGCTGGTTCTATGATGTTGAGCAATTACGGAAATCTTTGGATGTCATTTTCCTGCAAGGAGGTTATATTCTTTGATGTCGTAAGTCTCTTGGCATCTTGAGAGTCTCTAACCCAGGCCTTGTCCAGGGCTGGTATCAATGCTGTAATGCACCCCAGTGATATAGAGCAGAGGGGAGGAAAAAAAAAGGAGAACCCTCGGCATTCTACCCAGCTCTGCTTTGGTTTCCCCTGCCAAGCATGAAGAGACCCAGGATCTCCTTAGGTGAGGAAAATCCTGGGCTCTTAAGAGACTACTACTCACAATCCTGAGCTGGCATTTCTCAGTCTGTTCTTTTTTTATTTTTCCCCTTGAGAGAGGGGGAGGGTCGGGGAGAGGAAGAGAGAGAATCTCAAGCAGATTCCACGCCCAGTGTGGAGCCCGATGAGGGGCTCGATCATACGACCCCTGAGCTGAAATCAAGAGTTGGACGCTTAACTGACCAAGCCACCTGGGCGCACCATCAGTCTATTCGTTTTTATTCGTCAGCAAAATTATTTGAGCCAAACTCTCTGTGGTTTCAGTCCAAGGATGAACACATGGGTTACATTCCTACCTGGTCTCCAAAGAAGCGATAACCTCCTTGCATGAGCCTATCTGTTACCTTATTCCTTTTTGGAACAGGGTAAACGTAAATAAATATCACTCTCTCCCTCTTTTAGGTGTTTCCATTTATGACAGGTGGTTGACAAATGGTCAGGGCAGAAGAGTGGGAAGGTATTGTTTATTCTCCCTCCATAGTTAAATCTATCAGTTGTTTACAGATCAAATGAGAAAGTTGTAAGATATTGCGATAGAGGTGATTATATTGGACTGACATTAAAAAGGAAAAAATCTATAGCCAATACCATCTACCATTACCATTCTCACGTACAAGAAATAACAAAGAAGTTGGAACGACCACCTCTTGGCAGGGAGGAAAGGGCAGCTCTCCTGGGTAAAGAGAGTGTTAGCATTCTTATACTGATCTTTTCATCCTTAAGTGGCAAAGAACCTCATCCATGAGCACAGTCTGTATTTGGGAAGCTGTGCTCTGCTTGGTGCTTGGGTGCTCGGCACTCACAGACTTCCTGGGTGGGAAACGGGGTTCTGCATGAGGAGATGAGAGCTACATGTTCCCAGGCTAGCCCTTTGCTTCTGCTGCAGGGTCTCTGTTCCCACTCTCATGCTGTGATTTCGACCTTAACTTTATCCTTGTGTCTCTCCCCATAGGCAGGAAGCGAAACCCTGGCCTTAAAATTCCAAAAGAAGCATTTGAACAACCTCAGCCCAGTTCCACGTAAGTTGGCAAGATCATCGTCTTAATCCAAACACTTCACTTTACAGATTTCTAGGGAATGGGGGTTCATTTTTGGACGGATGAGCAATGCCTTGACTATGGAAATCACTGTTAGAAAGAAGAGCCCTTTAGAGGGAGGAGCCATGTGCTCGCTGTTCTGAGACCTGAAATAATCAGTCAGTCTATATCGTGCTTTGAACTCAGGGTAGCTTTGAACTCAGCCTCTCATGTTACTGGTTGGCATAAAATTGAGTGTCACAAGTGCGTTTGGCAGATGGGGTCCTATGAAGTTCAGAAAGGTCCCTGGACCTGGATTTTTTGCCTTTTCCATATAGACTTGAGCAAATAAGCAAATCCCTGGGAGAGCCACTACTATAAAGCTTGAGTAGAGATGGAAAGACGGTATTTGATAAGGACTCAGCATCCTGACACCTAAATCCTATCCCATATAAATAGAAGGCAAAATGAGGTAAAGGAACCTTTTTTTTTTTTTTTAATTAGCAGAGGCTTTGGCCCAAATCCCTAAGTGAGCTCAAGTCCTGGTGAAGCAGGATACCTTCTCCTTTAGCCTTCCTCTTATTTCTTTTTCTCTCCGTGGGATGGTGAGAGTACCTCCTGTCCAGTTGTAGATATGACCACCTTACAAAGCATCTGCTTGGGAGGAATGGAAATTGCAAGGAAAAAAGTCACAACAGAAGTTCTAGAGAGGCAGAGCAAGTATAGGGAAAGGCCATCCCAATGGAAGCTTGAGTTTTCAAGGCCGTTGGTCATCTCGACAAGTGCCTCTCTTTCTAAAGGTTTTTGACCTTAACCACGATCCATCCTATCAGGAAGGGCACCTCCTGGTGTTGGAAAGTGCTAGTAAAAATGATCACGTCTACTGTAAGACTTTGTTGAGGCCATTGGCCATTCCCTGCAGTGGTATGAACAAACGTTCCACTCAAGAACCTTCAAGTACAGAGCGGTAAGTACACTCTTCTGGGTTCTGCTCTGTAGCTCGAGGGCCAACCTCACCTTAGACTGGTCCTTTCCTGAGGCTCTGCAGCAGGAGGTTCTTTCCATATCTGCTATCGAGATTGGTGTTTTTGGTCCTTTTGGTGTTTTTTTTTTTTCCTGTGGACCTATGACCTGTGTAATTTATAACGTCTCCTCTCTGATTGGTTTCTCAAGAGTTTAGACTCAAATATATTACTTCCCTGTACTATCTGTATGGGACTCTGTGTGATATACTTTTAAAACTTTTCAACTTGAAATTATTGTAGATTCACAGGAGAGGACAAAGAAATGCACAGGGAAGTCCCATGTACCCTTCCCCTAGTTTGTGTCCTCCCCTCCATGTTCATATCTTAACACAACTGCCACCCAATGTCAAAACAAAGTGGCATTGGTGCAAACCATAGAACTTATTCAAATCTCACCATTATTGTAAGTCCTCGTTGTGTGTGTGTGTGTGTGTGTGTGTGTGTGTGTAGCTCTATGCAGTTTTATCACGTGTAACCTTATGGAACCACTACCATAATCAAGGTATTCAATTGTATCAATACCACAAGACTCTTTGGTGTTACTCCCTTATAGTCACGCCCACCTCTAACCCCCAGCCCTAATCTCTGGCAACCAGTCATCTGTTCCCCATTTCCATTTTGTTGTCTCATGGTTGCTACATATACCAAATCACGCGTCTCCTGTTCGAGATTGGCTTTTCCTTGCAGCATAGTTTCCTCGAGGTTCGTTCAAGTTGTTGCATGTATCAGTAGTTCTTTCCTTGTTATTGCTGAATCCATTCCATGGTATGGATATACCACAGTTTGTTGAACCCTCTAGCCTTTGAAGGAGATATGGGTAGTTTCCAGTTTTGGAAAACTGGGGTTATTGTGACAAAAGTAAGTTTCTGCATGAAAATAAGTCTTCATTTCCCTGGAGCATATGTCCAGTAGTGCAATTGCTGGGCCATTCGGTAATTCCGTTTTTGAAATAACTTCCAAGGTATTTTCCAGAGTGGTTGTACCATTTTACATTCTTATTAGCCATTTGCGATGATCCAGTTTCTCTGCATCCCTGCCAACATTAACGCTATTTTCCATTTTAGTCATTCTTTTTTTAAAAAATATTTATTTATTTTTGCGTGAGAGAGAGAAAGTGCAAGTTGCGGGGAGGGGCAGAGGGAGAGGGAGAGAGAGAGAATCTTGAGCAGACTCCCCGCTGAGCGTGGAGCCTGACACTGGGCTCGATCTCACAACCCTGAGATCATGACCTGAGCTGAAGTTAAGAGTTGGACACTTAACTGACTAAGCCACCCAGGAGCCCCATTAGCCATTCTGATAGATGTATAATGTTGTATCATTGTAGTTCTCATTTTTATTTTTCTCATGATGATGCTGAGTATTTTTAGGTGTTTATTTTCTATCTGTATATCTTTGGTGGTGAAATGTCTGTGCACGTCTTTGCCTCCTTCTTAATTAGATTACTTTTTTAATGTTGAGTTTTGAGAGTTCTTTTCTATATTCTAGACACAAGGAGTTTGTCAGATATGTGATTTAAAAACATTTTCTCTCAGTCTATAATTTGTCTCTTCATCCTTTTATTTTGATGAAATCCCATCTAGCAATTTTTCCTCTTACGGGTTATGCTTTTGGTGACAATTTTAAGAACCCATTGCTTCACACTTTGTTCTGTTTTTCAAAATAATTTTGGCTATTTTAGGGCTTTTCCCTTTCCATATTAGTTTTAGAATCAGTGTGTCTATGTCTATAAATGAATTTGCTGAGATTTTGGTAGGAATTACGTGTAACCTTTAGATCAGTTTGGGGAGAGTTGACGTCTTGACTACAATGAGTCTCCTAATCCATGAACCTGGTAGATTTCTGCAAGTCTTTAGATTTTCTTTGATGTCTTTCATCAGTATTTTATAGTATTTATCATACGGACTCTTTACAGTAGGGCTTGTTAAGATTTATACCTAAGTATTTCATTTTGTGGGGAGCAACTATAAATGATACTCCATTTTAAATTTTGGTTTCCACCTGTTGAGGGTCAGTGTATAGGAATGCAGTAGATTTTTCTCTGTTGCTCTTGTATCCTGGGACCATACTGAATTCACTTAGTAGTTCTAGGAGCATTTTTGTAGATTCTTTGTGTGTGTGTTTGTAGATTCTTTATAGAGTTTCTATGTCTACAATCATGCCACTTGCAAATAGAGAGTTTTCTTTCTTCCTTTCCAAATTGTATTTTTAAAAACTTTCATTATTTTTTTGCTTTATTTCAGTGGCAAGAATGTCCAGTACTATGTCAGATAAGATTGGTGAGAGTAAGCAACCTTGCTTTGTTGTTAGAGGGAAAGTGTTCAATCTTTACCATTAAGCATGATGTTAGGTTTTTGTAGATTGAGGCTTGAAAAAGTTCCTCTCTAGTTGTGGGGTACCGAGGGTTTTTATTGTTAATGTGTGTTGAATTTTGTTAAGTGCTTTTTTGTGCCTCACTTGAACATCATAGGTTTTTCTTCTTTGTACTGTTGATATGGATTACATTGTGATTGATTTTTTTTTATTTTATTATTTTATTTTATTTATTTGACAGAGAGAGAGAGATAGCGAGAGCAGGAACACAAGCAGGGGGAGTGGGAGAGGGAGAAGCAGGCTTCCCGCCGAGCAGGGACCCCGATGTGGGACTCGATCCCGGGACTCCGGGATCATGACCTGAGCCGAAGGCAGACGCTTAATGACTGAGCCACCCAGGCGCCCCACATTGTGATTGATTTTTAAATATTAAACTAGATTCGCATGCCCAAAATAAATTCCATTTGGTTGTGGTACATTTTTTTAAATACATTGTTGGATTCAATCTGTTGAAATTTTGTTGAGGACTTTTGTGTCTGAGTTCATGAGATATGTTGGTCTGTAGTGGTTGTTTTGAGTTGTTCTTCTTTTTTGGGGGGGAGTGTATGCTGTTATCTTCTGGTTTTGACATTAAGGTAATATTGGCCTCATAAAATGAATTGGTAAGAGTTTCTTCTTTTTTTTTTTTCTGGTAGACACGTAAAATCTGTATTAATTCTTTTTAAAAAAATGTTTGCTAAAATTCTCCAGTGAAACAAAATGAGCCGATATATTTCTTTTTTCGGGGGCTTTTAAAATACAAAATCAATTTCTGTGATAGTTACAGGACTATTCAGATGACCTGTTTCTTCAAGTTAGTGCAGTTGCTGGTTTTCAAGGAATGGGTCCATTTTTTCTAAGTTGTTGAATTTATAAGAGGAACATTGCTTACAGTATTTCCTGATTATTCTTTGAATGGCTATAGGACATGTTGTGATATCCTATTTTTTCCTGAGACTGGAGATCTGCCTTCTCTCTTGTAATCTGTGTCAGTCTTGCTGGAGGTTTATCAATATTATTGCTATTTTAAAACATTTTATGTATGTATGTACGTATGTATGTATTTAGAGAGTGCACATGCAAGAGGGGGGAGGGGCAGACAGAGAGGGAGAGAGAAACTTAAGCAGACTTCCCGCTGAGTGCGGAGCCCGACTTGGCGCTCGATTCCACCACCCTGAGCTCAAGACCTGAGCTGAAATCAAGAGTCGGATGCTCAACTGACCGAGCCACCGAGGCGCCCTGATTTTGGGGTACAGTCCTATGTCACTCTCCCACTGGTCTTATATTCCTTCTCTTTAAACTTTTAGCCCTCATCTTCTTCTAATTTATATTAATTTTCTGTATTTTATGAATTTTATGAAAGCCACAATAAATCCTACCTTGGTGTAAACAAATGAGTAAAAACCTGTGCAAGGATAAACCCAGTTTCTGTGTTGTCTTTCCCTCCTGTGGTAGAATAAACTTTGAATGTGTTTAATTGATTTTCTTTTTCACTGCGTAAAGCCAAGAGCATCACTTTATTTTGTAGACTAGACCACTTTAGCTCCGGGAGAGCCTTAGTAGTAGTAGTAGTATTTTAATACTGATGCTTATATTCATAGTCCTAAAGAAGTAGCTTCCACATTTTGTGTTTCTCTTGGCAATTTTTTAGGGTTGGCTTGGTGACTCGTACAATTTATACCCTGCCTTCTGCTATACTACACAAAAATAAATATCCTGGGACAGAGGTCCATTCTTCCTAGTTCTGTGTGTGTGGTCCCTCTGCTTGAGCTCTTTCTCTGAGTAACTGATGCCAATGTGTCTTTGGCTCAGGTTTCTGAGCTGTCCCCATACTTGATTGGCAGCAGCTAGTTCTGAATTGATTCTATGCTAGTGAGTATTACTCCAGTTAACCCTCCCAAGAAGCTCAGGAGGCAGTCAGTCTGTGTTACTCTTACTTTATAAGTGAGAAAACAGACCTGTACAAGATCAGGTGGTCAGAACAGTTGAGCATCATTTCATGGGTAAGAGTTCAGGCTCCAAAAAGCTAATACTACGTGACCTTTGGAGTACCTTTGACCTTTCAGGGAAGGAATTTTGTAATAAGCCTGTTTCTTTCCCCAGAGGACTAAAATATTGAATAAGCAACAGAGAACATACACCCACAGTTTAACCTCCTGCAGAGACTCAGTGCCCCAGACAAACTAATATGCCCAGCCCTGGACAGAACACAGTGTCAACGAATCTAATATGAGCCGTCAGCCTTGGCCCCATCATTTGATGCTTTTGGCAGACTTGATGAGCCCAAAGGCCTCAGGGTTGGGTGGATTGATCATTTTCATTAGAGGGGCCCTGGGTGTTGGGAGTAGGTTCCTTGGATTCAATCAGAGTTGGGCTGAAATCATGGCCTTACGACTTGGGAGCAAGTTAGTTAAACTTTGAGCCAAACGGTTTCTCATCTGGACCATGGGAGTAATGATACTCATAAGAGAGAGAGAGTGTGTGTGTTTAAAGAATTAAATGAGATGTAGATAAAGCATTGCACTTGATTCAGCCTATATCCCTTTCTCTTTAGGTCAAGACTGAGATTCAAGTGGCATGAGTTTTATTTTCAGCTCTGTTGGGCTGTCTGGCTTTAGCAAATCTCAGCTTTTGTGGGTTACATTTTTCTCATTCTGGAAAATTGCATGACCCCCTCCTATTAGGTAGAGGTATATACCGCAAGGTTAGTACAACGCTGGAGTTCAGCAAACTTTTTTTTTCTTACAAAGGCCAGCTGGTAAATATTTCAGGTTACCTGGGCCCTGCTGGCCCCAGTTGGATATTCTTCATAGTCTGTTTTCCAACAACTTTTTAAACTTGAAAACAGTCATTCTTAGCTGGGCCACAGGCTGTAATTTGCAAAGCCCCATATGAATACTGGAATACCAGAGCTGGAAGAGGTCTTACCCAGTGCCTTCCTTGGGTGGCAAGAAAAGGGAGGAAACCCCTTTTCCTGTCACTTCATACTTTTTATTTATTTATTTTTTAATTTTTATTATTTATTTATTTATTTATTTATTTATTTATTATCCTTATGCTTCATACTTTTTAAAAGGAAGGGTGCTGAACAGCTGCAAGAGATTTTTTATTGTTTATGGTAGTCACATGTTTCAAGTAATATTTGTCTTTATTTCAGAGTTCCATTGCAATTAGTACAAATCATTGATGATGAAAGAAAAATCGCTTTGGAAATTTTGAGAATGAGAAATCAGATCTTTAGAAATGTAATCCTCTGGAACGTATTTCTGAAGAAAAATTCCCTGCTTATAAACACAAGATATATAAAAACATCACTGGTGTGTACTGGGATGTGTGTGTGTGTGTGTGTGTGTGTGTGTGTGTGTGTGTTTTCCTCTGTATCTCTCCCTCCCAGTTCCTGGTTTTAAGTTAGTCCAGAAAAACTTTATTTTAGGTATTTTATGCATTTCAAAGGGATTTTGAGGTGAGGGAGGGCTTGCCATTAAAACCTTAAATTTATGTTTATATCTGTGTTTATATTCCCATTTTTCCTTAATGTTTTATTTAGTTAGTTTCAGAAGAAGGGGCAGAATTATAACACATTAGGGTTGGGAAAAATTGTCATGGGATATGATTCTTTTCTCCCTTCCTATCATCTTCCCTTCCTTCCATTTTCCCTTATATGTTTCTAGAGAGTTCTACATGGAATGTCCCCTTAGGAAGACCTGGGTCTTTTTGGTCCAACCATTGATTCTGGCAGCCCCAGAATTCTTTTGTCTTTTGGTGGTGATACTTTTGGTGCATTTATTCCGCGAAAATCCTTCTCGAAGCTCTTAGTTAGTTGCATGGCCAAAGCCAAACATCTTTCTCTTGAGTGGATTGATATCAACCCAGCTAGTATTGAAGTAGTAGAAATACATGCACATGAGGGGACCGTGTGCTTTTTCTATGGAGACACAAAATCAGCCAACCTCTGGGTGCTGAGATGACCCCTGGACAGTGTGTGTGCTGTGTATGGAAGAAATAACACAACTGTCTTATACGCCTGATAGAACAGGAAATACTCTGACCTGCAAACCAGGAGACCTGGGTTAATTGTGACCTTGGGCAAGTCACTGGGTTAGTGTTGTGACCTTGGGCAAGTTACTTTGCCTCTCTGGGCCTTTTTCCATCTCTGAACGTGGGGACTAGAGAGATTTGGAATTATGGTTTATGGATTTTGTGAGTTAACATAACCATATGCTAATTATTATTACTTTTTTAAATTATGGGAAAATGTGATGGAATAATTGGGCACATTGGTGTTCTTGGATGAAAGAAAAAGTTTGGGGTTTACTAGAATAGTACGTTTATTTATATAATTCTATACACCTAGGTCATATTCATTGGATATTTACTGTATGCCAGCCATTCTGCTAAGCATTTTACTTGGAATATCTCAGGATATATTAATATCTTCATGTTAAAGAAGAAATAGACAGTCAAAGAGATTAAGTCATTTATTTATTTTAAAGATTTATTTATTTTAGAGAGAGAGAATGTGAGAGCCAGCGTGGGGCAGGGTGGATGGGAAGGGATAAAGGGAAAGGAAGAGGATCTTAAGCACACTCCCAGCGGAGCATGGAGCCCAACGCGGGGCTTGATCCCACAACCCCGAGATCATGACCTGAGCAGATATCAAGAGCCAGATGCTCAACCGACTGAACCACCCAGGCACCCTGGAGATGAAGTCATTTAAACCCAAATATATTTTATTCCAAATCCCACACGATTAACACTTCTTTGCTACTTTATTTTACTGATGAACTTCCAACTTACCCCTAAGGAAAACTCTCTCCAGTCGTATATGATTTGGGAAGGGCATAATTGACTAAATACCTCATGTTTTTTCTTTTCCTCCTTTTCTTTCTTAGGCCACCTCGAGACTTAGACTCTAAAGCTTGCATTTCTATTGGAAATCAGGTAAAAAAATCACGTTTGCCAGTTAATATCTTGACCATTTCTCATATATACTTTCTGACTGGCCATCGGAAAATTTATTTTCTATAACATGCCGTCAGGGGATGGGTCCAAAAGTTTGAGTTTAAGCAGAAGCAGTGGGTGGTGCTCTTGCTGTTTTGGATGCCTTGTTGAAATCAGGCTAGTGTTGCCCTGATGGAAGGTATTTGAGGGGAGTAGATGATTGGCTTTGGGATGCAGTTCTCAAAGTCCAAGGGTAGATCTAGTTGCCATCAGTCAGCAAATGGATTAAATGTATGAGGAAGGGGGCAGGGCTAAGGAGCCGTTGTAGATAGCTCAAAGTGAGTTTGGAGGCTGAGCTGGAGCTGGATCTCTGTATTGCCCGTGACAAGCAGGTGACATACTCTATGAGTCTGAACATGTCCTGGTGCTTCCTGCTTGCAGCGGCTGCTTGGATAAAACTTCTAGACCAGAAGCTTCTGGACCAGAAATAACCCTTAGAATATCAGGAGAAGCCAGAGAGAGGACGAGGTAGTTTATGTCCTTTATTTTTTTCTTTACTCTTGCATTATTACTTTTCTCTCTTGTAGAACTTTGAGGTGAAGGCGGATGACCTGGAGCCTATAATGGAACTGGGGCGAGGTGCGTACGGGGTGGTGGAGAAGATGCGACACGTGCCCAGCGGGCAGATCATGGCGGTGAAGGTAGAGTTGATGCTCCCCAAACGTGTTCTGTCTGTGGTATATACGTTCGTCCATCTCAATTGCCAAACAGTTCTTTCCATAGAAGCAAAACAGTCTTCAAGGGGGTCAAACAAAGAAGATTATCTGTAGGGAACAGTATTTCCCTCCAAATGTCTGGAAAATGCTTCCTTGGTATGAGTTGTGTTTACTGGTTTTGTTTTTTATTTTAACTGATAAATCTGACCCCCTCCTTTTAATTTTTTATGTAACCACCATGTCATCACACTTAAAAGAATTATCAATACTTCTTTAATGTCATGGAATACCAGCTCCAAATTAAAATTACCTGGATCATCACCATGTTTTTTTCTTGTTTGTTTTGTTTTTTGCCTGCTGGTTGTTGAAATCAGAATCCAAATAAAAGTTCACATACTGCATTTGGTTGTTATGTCTCAAAAGTCTCTTTTATTCTCATATTCTGTTGCTTTTAAAGAACGGTCCCCGAAAATGAGGAAATCAGAATTGAGAGAGAAGATTGTGTCTGTTTGTGGAAAAAAGGAGGGTAAAATGCATCTTGAGTGAATTTGCATCATTTTTGAGCTGGAAAAAGAAATTTAGAATCATTGCATATTTCTTTTTTTTAAATTTTATTTATTTATTTGAGAGAAAGAGAGAGAGAGAGCGCGAGCACAAGTGAGGGGAGAGGCAGAGGAAGAAGCACACTCCCTGCTGAGCAGAGAGCCCCATGCAGGGCTCGATCCCAGAACCCCGAGATCATGACCTGAGCTGAAGGCAGACGCTTAACCAACTGAGCCACCCAGGTGCCCCTCATTGAATATTTTTTGAGTAGATGCTCGAGGGGCTTTGGGGATCCACCGTCTGTACATGAATTCATGGATTTGGGCCTTTTAAGAATGTAGATGGTCAGAAGGCTGGGACCCCTTTGTTTTTGGAGAATGGAGATATCTTTCCCTTACCTTTTGGATTTTGCCATGTGTTCTTCTTCAGACTTTTTGCTAATTAGGCCAAAAATATGAAAGCCTCGTGATACTATATCTTTACTGTCATTTAATGACAGAATCGTATTTCTTTAATTCTGCATATGCTGGTGTGACAGGTGTCTCTTCTCTCAGAAGCCCTGGGATAGGAATGAACAGTCTCTCCATTTCTGCTTGATTCCATCCATTTCTGAGAGCTCTGTCCATTCTTTTACAGTTGGTACTTAGTCCAGATATTCTTCCTTGTTCCCAAAGAGGGGCTTTTAGATCTTGTTGTGGGATCCCGAGTTAGCCACAAAGTCACGAATACTCTGGTCTCTGTACTGAACAGACATAACACAATAAAGCAGGCTGTTTTTGTGACTTGGAAGGAAGTACATTCACCAACATTTGCACACTTTCCAAAATATATTATCAGTTTGTTTCTTGCCAGGGATTTTTCAGGAAACCCACTGAAAGTCTTCCTTATTTCTCATTTGTTACAAATAGCTAATCACTAGGGTAAATACTTGAAAGGTTGTTGCTAGAACTTGTTCTATGAGTTTTGTAGTATTTTCGGGATGGGACTCCTTAAGGTCCCTGCCTTATTAACTGACTCATCCTCAGAGCAGTAACCATACGTTTTTCCATGCATTCCCATTCAGCGGATCCGGGCCACAGTAAATAGCCAGGAGCAGAAAAGGCTACTGATGGATTTGGATATTTCCATGAGGACAGTGGACTGTCCTTTTACCGTCACCTTTTATGGTGCACTCTTCCGGGAGGTAGGTGATCCTTCAACTCAACATCTGGGGAGGACAAGGACTTAAAAAGGTGTTTCTCTAATCACATGAACACGATGCACAATCCTGGTACTCTTTCTGTTTTGATGTGTCTTCTCTGAGCGATTTCTGCTCTGGCAGTGATGACATGCCCTGACGCAAAGTTGGCTTGAAATGAGAGTCTTTCCAAATGTGTCTAGCCCTTTTGAAGACCCTGAGGCTCCCTTTCTCCTTTCTGTTTTGGTTTGTTTATTTTGGCATGGGTTATCTCTATCAATTGCCTATAGACTAATTTAGGCAGATTTCTTAAAATCTGAAATACTGTGGTCTTTTGGCCAAATGATAAGCTTTATTTACGCTGTTAATGTACCCCGGAGGCTTACATTTATCTCTTTGCTTTACCTCCGCTTTCACTTTCCCATGATATGGATTTTGAGGCTTCGACTAGCTTTTGGATGAATGATTGCCAGTGTTCCGGGTGGGAGGTCAGACATGGAGTAGGCCTGCAGACCTAATCCCTAGAGGACAGTAACCATGAAGGCCTGGATTTCTGGGGATCTATTGTTGGTGACTAATAGTACTGATGTATTTATTTATTAAAAATGTTTTTTAAAAATTTGAGTCACACACAATGTCACATTAGTTACAGGTTGTACAACATAGGGATTCAACTTCTCTCTACATTATAGGTATTCAGCACAAGTGAGTGTAGCGACCGTCTGTCACCATATAACTCTATTATATCATTGACTATATTCCCTATACTGTGCCTTTTATTCTCGTAACTTCTTCCTTCCATAGTTGGAGTGACTGTTAGTATTTAGATCATGCTCTTTATCAAGGAGTAGGTGATCACATGCAGGTTCTGCTTGGCTCTCCGCTGGTTGGCTTTTTGGAAACGAACTTGCTTGTTTGTAAATTCCTTTGAGATCTTGAAGGGAAATTGTACATGTCCTCCGAAAACTCAAGTAAGAAATGGTTTTTCCCGACAGGTGTTAACTGTTTCCCCTTCTTTTCCTTTTCTGTCCTCTCCAACAATCTCTGAACCAATTTATCTCCAGGGTGATGTTTGGATCTGCATGGAGCTCATGGATACGTCGCTAGATAAATTCTACAAACAAGTGATCGATAAAGGCCAAACAATTCCAGAGGACATCTTAGGGAAAATAGCAGTTTCTGTGAGTACATCATGAACTCTACTACAGGGAGCATATGAGAAGTCTAGACCTGATATGTGTCTTGATTCCCTATTGTGAGCAAACACTAGCTGGATGTGAGCAATAGCACATGTCTGTTGAGTGCAGGAGTGCATCTGTGGACTAGTAACTGAATGCTTTTATTTCTGGGCGCTGTGTCGAAGATTCTACCACTGACTTGGTTTGGTAAACTCTCCGTTAAAATGCCTCTAAGCAGCACCTTCATCTGCTATGACCACATTCCTGGTGTCTATAGTCTGATATTAGTTTACTTTGATTTTCATTTGTAGATTTTTAAATGTTTTCTTAAGGCTAATAGGGTATAGAAAGAAGCAGAAGAAAATGAAATGGAAAGAAAGATTATTCTCTTAATGGCTATTGAGGCTCATGAGGGTAGAGAGAAAAGAAGATGCTGGAGGCCAAATGAAACACCGGCTAGATGAGCGAGATCATCCTTTCTACTGTGAGATCCGGTCCTCTCTGGGGGGTGGAGGTCAATAAGTGTAGCTACCTGTGTATTTTCCTGGATAGGGCCACCGCTATTGGAGAAAATACCTCACCTGGTGACGTTAAGCCTGGGATCATAAACCTGGGTATACCTAACATTCAGTTTCTTTCCAATGATGGAGAAGAATCTATCTTGTGTTTCTCTTGCAGATTGTAAAAGCGTTAGAACACTTACACAGTAAGCTCTCTGTCATTCATCGAGGTAAGCATGCATGGAGTTGCTTTGACTCTTCCTTTTATAACATCCATTTCTTTTACCCAGACTTTTCTTCCCCCAATGGGTATAGGTGGAAATGAGTCAGGCAGTAGAACTGAGGGGTTTTCCTTCCCAAAGGAACAGGAGATCATATAAGTAGCTGCTTTTTATCTTGTCTGAGGACATACGAAGACATGGGCTTTTTAGTGCACCTACATTGAATCTAAAACACCTGTTACCAAGCACAGCTCTGGGATTACCCCACTGAGAATTTTAGAGAATAAGGTAAAAATGCCTGTAGTATTGACTGTCGCCTGGGAGCTTCTTAGAAAAGCAGAATCATGGGTCCCCAGACCACCTGACTCTCCATTTTTAACAAGATCCCCAGGTAATTTTTGTATACCTTAAAGTATGAAAAGTTCTGGTATAAAATACAGGTTTTTCAGACAGCAGGAGGCAGGATAAAATGAAAAAAACTGATTTATCTCTTCTTCCTCTACCTCCTCTTTTTTTCTCCCCATTGGCCTGTCATCTTTCCATCCATCCATCCATATATCCATTCTTCCATCTTTCATCCATCTATCCATTTATCACTTATAATCATTTTCCTACCATTTATGCATCACTATAATAGGTGCCTTGAGAGGTATATGAAAACAAAACATATTCTAATTAAAATTCTACAAAGGGATTCTTGATAGGGAAATAAGACCAATGTACAACAAACACATGGAAAAAATCAACCACATTACAAATACCAAATTACCAAATGTGGAAGTGCTTAGGTAAACTCCAGAGCAAGGAAATGATTAGCACTGGGTGACTATAGTCAAGGAAAACTTCTTAGAAGACACTCACTCAACCAAGTCTGAAGGAGAATTAGTGGAAGGTATGGATAGCTGGTGGGGTAGTGAGATTTGGTAATTCTTAAACTGTCTGAGTCAACCTCAAAGTGATGTAAAATGCTTTGCACAGAGTGCCTGTTATTATTGTTATTGCTGTTATTATCATCATTAATTATGATTATTAGAAGTTGGAAAAACAGGGAGGAAGAAGAGGGGGAGGGAAATGGGAAAGAATCCAGATGGGAAGAAGAATGTGGATTATCCACACATGTGAAACTTAATTTTTAAGGATTTATTTCAGAATTAGGAAGTATTTTATTTGTATCAAAATATATACCTAGAGTATAAAAATAATAAAATTTGCATGTCTACCATTCAGTTTAAGGGAAAACATTATAAAGGATGATTTTTAGTGTTTTTAGAATAACTTACTCTGCTGATTACATGTCCTTTGTGAAAAGCCTCACGAGGGAAGAAAGTTAACTGTAATTTCTAAGTCCATTATCCAGAGATGACAATGATTATCTCTTTGGGGGTATGCTTTGTGGTCTGGAATATCTGAATTCCTGATGAGTTTCACTATGTGACCTCAGACACACCTCTTGCAGATGCTTCCATCGAAACTGGTTGCCTTGATCAGATTTGATGTATGTTTATACTGTAGTCTGCCTTATCATTCCGCGGTCTGTTTACTCCTACCCTTACTGTGCATTAGGTCATGACGAGCTGGGCTTTACAAAAATTATTTTGTTGTCATAAGAACACTTACGATGAGATCTACCCTCGTGGCAAATTTTAAGTGTGCAATGCAGTATTATTTATTATGGGGTCAATGTAGTACAGTGGATTTCTAGAACTTACTCATTTTGCGTCATCGAGACTATGCATGCCCAAGGAACGGGGCATTTGATTCAGTAATAATTTTTTTAAGCTTTTACGACACTTATGGGGGCAATGCAGATGATAAATAGAGGAAACAGTCCTTCCTATTGATGGAGTCACAATCCTGCAAGAAGGACAAAACATGAAATAGAAAATCAAGTTGGAAGCAGTAAGATGCATGTAAGTGGGAGTCAGGGAGGGCCTCAGAGAGCAGGGAAGGTGAGATGTCAGGCCCCCTGGTGGTGGACACATGAATCTTCAGAGCAGGCTGGGATCACGGGCTCCTGGTTGTTCTTACTTTCAGACGTCAAGCCTTCCAACGTGCTGATCAACACTCTGGGCCAAGTAAAGATGTGCGATTTTGGAATCAGTGGCTACCTTGTAGACTCTGTTGCTAAAACTATTGATGCAGGATGCAAACCGTACATGGCCGTAAGTACGGCAGCCAGGGGAGGCATCTGGGAATGCAGCCGCCCACAAACCTCACCAGGAAATAGGAAATGGATGGCCACAGAGGGAGAATGGAAATGTGCTTACGGTGCAAGAAATATTCTGCATCTTATTTTTTTCTTAAGTATTTTCTGTCTGAAATCCTTAGTCACTTGCTTCAAACATATTATTTTTTAAAAATTCGAGTAAAGGAGGTCTATTACTTGAAAAAAAGAAACACATAAGTAATACATACAGCCCACACAAATTTTTCACCCTGTGTTGCCGGGGAGTGTTATCCTGTTTGTTGGGGACGGAAGAGTAAACAATTTAAATGACCCAAACAAGTCAGTTAGATGAGAGATGCTCATGGCTGGGAAGATTCACTGCCATTGGCAGAGACCTTGGGACCCCCTTTAACATTAAGGGGCTTCTGTATTCTGTTTTGAAATAGATTTGCATTTGGGTTGAGAACCTTCCCCTTGGTGTTGAGCTAATCTCAGACAGTAGCCCGGTGACTCTTGTGGATTCTTACTATTGAATTCTGGACTGTTGGGGTTCTTAACAAGGAAAATTCTAGACTGGCAAAGTAACTTTATACTGTGTATCCTATTTCATCTTAAGGCAAAATTGAAACTAGTTTTTTTTTTAATGAGTTTTGAATCGTGAGGGACTTTGATCCCTTTTTGTCTCCAAGAGAAGACTCCTGTAGAATGAGGAAGATCCCACGGAGGCATTGATATTTATTGTAGTTAGTGAGTTTTCTTGGCCTGGGAGGCATGCTAACAGGCTTAAAACGAGTCACTTGGCAGCTGGTGACACTCCCACCCCCGGAGACTTTATCGAGCTAAGAGTGTCATCTCATTTGTCTTTTTCTGTCTCCTTTGCAGCCTGAAAGAATAAACCCAGAGCTCAATCAGAAGGGATACAGTGTGAAGTCTGACATTTGGAGTCTGGGCATCACAATGGTAACGTGTGATGATCATTCTGGACTGTGAGGTTCTGGGCATGAAGCTGAAATGGGGTGGGTTTTGTGACCAAAAAGCAAACACCCTACCTGTGGGTCCTGAGCATCCTTTCCTGCTGGACGGAGCAGGAGGTTTGGAATGATGATTGTCTGCAGGGTCGTGTGGTGGGAAGACTGCACTGGGATTGGGCAAACCCAGTTTTTCTCTTTATTCCACCTCTAACTGGGCGTGGGCCCTTGAGTAAACTGATGGAGTCCCATGCATTGTATTACTATCCTCATCTGTAAAACGAATCCTGCCTATAGCTTTAAATTATTCTCATCTAGGCATGAAGTTTAAGCTACTCCAGGAGTGCTCATGTGTGTGGACCCTGACTGAGCTGTTATCCAGGACATAGGCTGTGTTTCCCAGAATATGGTTCTGATAGAGGTCTTGGCCATTGAGGTCAGATACAGCCAAAGGACATAGTAACAAACAAGATAATTTCCTTCGGCACAGCCCTACAGTTATCCTTTGTAACTTTGGTGAACATACATTTTTTTCAGTGTGTCACTGAGGTCTGGAATTATCCACTGTGGTCCTGGCTCCTTCCCAGGCACAGCAGCTGATTAAATCCTGTGCGTTATTTCCCATCCCTGCCCAGAATACACGTGATGATCTTGTAATGGCAAAGTGGCCTTCCTCAAATCCAAAAAAAGATCAGTCATTTGGTCCTAGGGTTTGTTTTTTTTTTCATTCCAGTAAGGGACCTGCAGATGGCAGCAGATACACAGCTCTGTAAAAGTCTTAGGGCGAGAATAACTTTTCAGACCAAACATTGAAAACACCCGGTTGCTTTCCATCCCGAAGTTTGATACTGCTGACTTACAATTTTATGAAGTGTCACAGTTGCTTTTGGTGAGGACCCAGTTATAAATAAGCTTAATTGGCTGCCTCCAGTAAGATAATGTTCAAAACTCCCTAGCACTAGGAACTGGGGAAGAGTAGAGAACATACTGTTAGTTTATGTCTCCCCAAGTTTTACATGAACTTCACCTCTGTATTTCCCTCGGATTCTCCTGGAACAGAAGAGTCCAGCAGATGCCCTAAAGTAGTTCCGTTTCAGCGGTTGTCCCCTTGTGTTTTTCTCCCCTCTAGATTGAGTTGGCGATCCTTCGGTTTCCCTACGACTCTTGGGGAACCCCCTTCCAGCAGCTCAAACAGGTGGTCGAGGAACCCTCGCCACAACTCCCGGCGGATAAATTCTCCGAAGAGTTTGTTGACTTTACCTCACAGTGGTAAGAAAGCTTCCTCTGCCAAATGCCAGTGTGAAGGAAGAAGAGGAGTTCTCATGAACTTCCTCCATTGGTCTTGATCCATTACGCATGCATTCATTCCAAAAGCATCTATGGAGTGTGCCCTCGATGCTGGAGATACAAAGATGCCTTTATCCCAGTCCCTGCCCTCAGTGAACTCAGAGTCAAGTAGGGGAGTCTCTTCAATCCGTGATTATGATACCATATGGCAAGTCCAGGGATGGAGCCATGCACAGGGTATTTGGGGAACTCAGAGGAAAGGCATTAGGACAGAGTTTCTGGAGGAGATAAATTCTGTGCTGAAGATCCTATGAGGGATTTTTCCAAGCGACCAGGGAGGTAGGGTAGGGAAAGATACTCCAAGCAGAAAAAAGATCATGCTTCATGTCACAGGAGCGAGAAACTCCTTGATGAGAGCTGTAAGCTCTTTTGATGTTGGTTGGAACATCAAGAGAAGAGTGGTTGGACGGTTGGAGGATTAGGGTGGTGGAGTAGATAAGACATTCTAGTGTTTTGTAGGTTTTGTAGGCTGCCCCCTACACAACACTTGTTAACTGTGGATACACTTGCCCGTGAGGGTGCAATGGACAGTACTGGGGGTCTGAGGAGGGAATCTAAGGAAAGCTGGAGTGGAAAAATGGAAGGAGTCCTGCTAATAATGTAGACTTTGTTTTCGTGGAAATTGTCAGGGGAATCGAGGAAAGTAGGAGAGGGCATGCATGGTGACCGTATTGCCTGGTGTAACCTGATACTAAGGACCATCGCAAGTGTTCCTGGAAGACGACACCAAAAGGAAAGCACAAAATGGCTTTCGTCTAGATGGGCACCCTGCAGAAGCAGATAGCGCCCAGCCCCGCTGTGACCCCGGGAGGGGAGGGATCCTGGCCGCTCCCTGCTGATGAAAGAGCTGGGCCTCTGAGGGCCATTTGGCAGCACAGCTCCTCAAGGTTATCATTCCTTGGCCTCTGTGCTCTTTGGAAGAAGTGTTCTGAATGCAGCTTTTATTGGGAAACATGACGAGACAAAGCAACTGTCTGTTGTTTGTGAAACTAAGGCCTCTTGGACTTTTTGTTAGCCCTGGTCCCCATGTCAGCCCTGGTATTTTGCCCTGATGATGTATGAGGCTGGCCTACTGTGGCTTGGTTTTGTTTTAGTTTTGGCCAAATGGCTAGAGAGGGGCTGGAGCTGTGGGCTGGAGTACAGTGTGTTGTTGGGCGCCTCTGATGGGACACTTTTTCTGGGCTACTGAGGTGTGTCCTCCCCTCTGCTTTCCTTGAGCGAATGTGCTGGATGCAGTAGCACACTGGTCAGGTTGAGATGGGCTCATGATTTTGCCTTCTGGATTCAAGAACTTGTTTTTATTGTGTATTTGTTTTTTTTTTTTTTTTTTCTTTTTCCTTATCCTCAAATGTTTAAAGGTCACATAGGAAAAGGGGTGAGTCATCTTGGATAGTTCAGACCAGTAGTTCTCAAGAGGAGGGGTAAAGGGGAAGGGTCTTATCTAGGGAAGTCTTGTCAAACTCTCCTCCCTAGAACCTTTCTCCTGCCTGTTCCCCTTTCCCCAGGATTCTGGCTGGGTACTTTGGAAAACTTGGTAAGAACAAGGCTGAAGCTGTGAATTGTGCAGGACTGTTGAATCTCAGATCTGTACCTCTGAGACAAATAATGCAAGATATGTTAAGAAAAAAAA